TGCGCCGCATGTATGATAATTTCCCATCAAAAAAGAAAGAAACCGCGGAAATTCTGTTATTAATACTTATTATAATTATGATATAATTGAAATGTCGAACTAAGCCAGAACCAAAAAGGAGACTCAGTTGAATACAATAAAGTTACGACCTAGGCAACCAGCCGGGCCGCCCGGGTCACCCTATTTTCCTGGGCGGCCCGACCGTGGACCAGGGAAGGTCCTAGCCAAAAAAAAAAAAAATCCAAAAATTCCGGAAAAAAAGTATGTTATGCAGAAAATAAACTGAACAACTTTTGCCTCCAAAAAAAAACAAACTCCAAAAATCCGGAAAAAAACTATGTTATGCAGAGAAATAAACTGAACAACTTTTGCCTCAGGGTCACATTGAAATTCTTTACCAAATTTAAAATAAAATTTTAAATTAAAAAATAAAATTTATTTTTTTATTTCTTTTTTGGCCGGCCGGCTAAGTGGACCCGGGCCAATCTGGTAGCCTAGGTTATGACGTAAAAAAAATAAAAAAGTAAAATAAAGGTTGCGACGTGTCTACCTTTTTGTTTTCCAGTTGGGCATAGGATGATGCCTTTGACTAAAATGTCAGATCGGGTAATGCTCGCCCGCGAGGGACCTGATGATGTGAAAAGACAATCTTCTCTCGGCTTCTGATGCCCTTTACCGGATTTTAGAGTCCCCCACGAGCACCTCTAAGCCTCATTTTTTGCGGTGATTGATTTTACCTGTCCCTGGACGACAGGCCAGTTATGGGCGGGGATCATGCATTTGGACTAGAATGTATTTGGCAAGCAATGTTTTTTTGTTCTTTTTTTTTCGACTACCTGTTTTCGGCATACAATGGCATGTACCCCTCATGCATGAAACTTGGCGGAAGATTCATTGAAAAGGAGATGAGAGCTATAGGCTACCAGAGTGACCCGGAAACCACTTTTCCGGTTTGGGGGAAAATGACACATAAAAAATCTCATTATTTTATTTTATTTTTATTTTCAATTTGGTAAAGCATTTCCGTGTGACCCTGCGGCAATAGTTGTTTCGTTTATTGTTTTGCATAACATATTTCTTTCTAGTTTTTTTTTTTTTTTTTTTTTTTTTTAAATTTAGCAGGGACCTTGCCTGGCCCTTCGCCTGGTGAGGTCGCCCAGGCAGCCAAGGGGGCCCGGGCGGCCCAGTTGGGAGACCACGAGGACGAGGATGAAGAATCGGCAAATACGGAACGCTCGATACGCAACCTGACTCTGTTCCCATGTGAACCGGAGTGGCACGGTGAAAAAATGGTTGGGGTACTTGGTAGCTTTACATCTGGCCAAGTTTTTTCTCTCGTTTTTTTTTTTTTTTTTTTTTTTAACTCGCGCCTGGCTGTTCGTCCTCTTAGGATCTTGTGAATCCCTGTGTTATTATGCATGGAATTTGTGAATCCGTGTGATTAGGAAATTGAAAACCAGTCCCTTGAGACATCTGTTGCAATTGGAACAATACAGAGAAGATTCGCATGGTCGCTGCACAAGGATGACATATAAAATAAATCGAGACATGGTCCCAAAGAAAAGGAAAAAAAAGGAAAAAAAAAGGAAATTGAAAACCTTAAAAAAGAGGAGAGAAAAAAAAAATCCCCCCCAAAAGACCAAAGTGGCTGGCTGGTGGCTGAATGGTATATGAATGGTACACACATGGAATGACAGTGGATAGACAGGTCAAGAGTTCACGTCTGGTTAACCCACCACTCTCTCCTAATGGGGGGACCCATTGATATACGAAGGGGTTTGTGGGGGTTGGCAAGAAAAATTCATCGCAGTTTTTGCATGGTTAAATTTGTATCGCCATTGAAATTTCCTCGCGGTGTGCATGGTGAAATTTGTGCGCGCCGTTTGGTAATTCACCCCCTTACCCGCGCTCTGCCTCTATACCGGTGGGGTAGCGGGGCCAGAGGGGTGGCTCTAACCTTGTGTAAGCCGGAACGTGCTATCCTATCTCAGACTAATAGGCGGAGCTAACTCCTCATCGAGCTGTGATTGTGGGGTTTTCTCTAGATGCACCAGCTCGGCCGATGATGCAGGTTTTTCTATCGTTTAATTGAGGAGGAGCTTTGCATAAGCGATGACCTCAAAAAATCCTCTCTCTGAGGCTGTAGCTACTCCTCCCCGTGTTCCCCCTCTTTTTGGATAGATACGACTTTGCAGTTTTCTGCGTGTGCAACCTGTGCTGATGATGAGACTCTTCGTATCGTGAAATTTATGGCGAGCTTCAAGAGTAAGCCGTGACCCATCAGAATCTTCTCTCTGAGGCAAGGAATGCACTTTTGTTCTCCCTCCCTCCCTTTCTTTCTCTCTCTCCTATTTTGTGCTGGACAGCTGAGAGTGTGTATTCTCTGTGAGATTGCCGCCATCGCTTAGTCTGGTTGGCAGTGAAAGTTGGAACAGAGGCAATTATGATCTACTGTGTTAAGGTGTTCTTGGCCTATAGGAGATTGGTCTATAGGAGATTCACACCATTCACCAGGAAGTTTTTGACTGAATATTGCAGTGGTAATGGACAGATACATCCGTTACATGGGCATCCCAAGACTGAAGTTAAAAAAAAAAAAAAAGGGAAAGAAAGATACGTCCGGCGAGCCCAATCATTGGCATGCCCTTAAACCACCACTGATACCGATTATTCCTTTGTCGAACAGTCTTCCCACCCACAGTGGGGTCGGTGGATCGATGGAGAACGACCGATGATTTGTCGTTTCAACAAATCAAGAGCTGTGATTGACGAGGTCGCAATTGGACAGTTGGTGATCAGTGGCATCAAGCAGTTTTCTATCCACCCACCCTCGACCTCCTCTCAGTCTACTGCTTTATGTTCCCCACAGCCCCTTTGTATATCAGCACGCCTTGGGGAGGCTGTCGCAGTCAGTGGTGATTTAAGCCATGAGTACTTGACCCAGCTATAGACCGTGGGAAAAAAATAGAGTAGAAACGTTTCTAGTCGGATGAATCTGGGCACTTCCGCAGTGGCCCGTACATTTCCTAAGATCCTGGCTTGTTAACGGGCACAACTTCAGGAAGTACTGGTGTGGTTTAAGTGAATCCGGCAAATCGTATACACTGTTCAGGGCCATAAGGACCTGTTTTTTTTTTTTTTTTTTTTTTTTTCCCTTTTTCTTGCTGGGGGTTCTTTTCTGAGGAAAAAAAAAAATCCTCTATGCTGTTGTGTTTCCCTGTTTCTCTATGAGGAAGATGAATGCGTACTCTTGTAGAGATGATCGTAATTTCTTCGGTTCGGTCGGTCCTGTTGAAAGCGGAAGGAGACTTGTCTTTCGGAAGGAGGTGGGTCCGTTTATAGGTGCATGAATGTGCCCATGATGATGACCATATGTATCGTGAAAATGTCTATGGAGCTTCGAAGAAGCAGTGACCGCCAAAATCTTCTCTCTGAGGCACATAATGTGATCTTCACTGTCTAATTCCGTCTGCCACCCTCTGCTATCTTAGACGACTAAGACGATATCTTTTGCGATCATTGAAACGATTGCATGTGCCCAAATTCAGTCTGGCGGGCAGTCGTTTCGGGAGAAGAGAATGGTTTTGTGACCACTATCTTCGCCAAAATACGCTGTATGTGCCCTTGATCATGAATGTATGCAAGCTATCTTTCCAGTCCGATACGGTTGATGGCGAGGGTGTGTTGTGATAGGGGGAAGACGGAAACGGTGAGTGTGTCTGTGCTGTGGAGATCACCAGGAGCATTCAGTCAGTCTCAAGTGTCTTAGAGCCTTCCTCGAGGGCCGAGCAATGAACCACATCAGTTCCTCCCCCCCCTATCTTTTCCACCCAGGCCCTCCCAGCCCGCCGCTGTCTCACTGGTACCCGAATAGCTAGGTAGAGACCAGGTACGTACGAATTGTCAACAGGGGGGGGAGAGGGGGTGGGGGACCGTGCCTTCTCCCTGTTTGTGTATGCTGATTCCTCACCTTTGATTTCAGGGAGGCACGGTACGGTGGTTAACAGTATCAGCTACAGGGTGAAAGAGATTCTTGCACATGCAAATGGGTGTTTGATTCAGCTGGTTAACAGTATCTGCTGTGTGGTGAAAGTCTTCCGGTCAGGCTCAGAGTTTCCTTACTGTGGGTGTGGTGAAATCCACAGGTTGTACCAGCCTTTGGTGCACACGGTCAAAAGGTGGCCAGTGTGCCCTGGGCACCAGTGCTCCTGGTGTCCCATGACCTGTTCATGGCGTCAGACAGGCTGTGGATTCCTGCCGTTGACTTCAATACCCTGCATCCAGTGATTGGTCTTGTGTGTGTGTGTGTGTGTGTGTGTGTGTGTTTGTGTGTGTGCATGTGTGTGGGTGGGTGGGTGTGCATGTGCATGGGTGCGATTGTGGGTGCCTGCGTGGGTGTGTGGGTGCCAAGGGTGCATGGCTAGGCAGGCTGCGGGTCATGTTGCAATCTGTCATATGCCATACTTTGTGTTACGTGGGTGCGTGGCAGGCGAATGTGTGGGCACTTCATGCTCCACCACACAGGTGTGGGGAACCTTGCACTCTGTTTACGCATTTTTTATTCCATCCATGATTTTGAGATCGTGGTTTTGATTTTGTGGATGTTTGACACACGTGCACGCTCACACACACACACACACACACACACACACACAC